AAAAAAAAAAAAAAAAAAAAGAAAGGAAAGGCGGCACGGTGATCAACTGCTGAGTACGTTCGCCTCATAGTGTAGAGGTCCAGGGTTCAATTCCGGGCTACGGCCTTCGTGTGTGGAGTTTGCATGTTCTCCCCGTGCCTGCATAGGTTTCTCTGGGTACCTCCCACATTCCAAAAAACATACATGGTAGGCCAATGGAACACTCTAAATAGCGTGATTGAGAGTGTGGATTGATGTCTGTCTATGTGTGCCCTGCGAGTGGCTGGCAACCAGTTCAGGGTGTACCCCGCCTACTGCCAAAGGACAGCTGGGATCGACTCCAGCATGACCGCAGTCCTTGCGAGGATAAGCATCTCGAGTACAGTCAAGTGTAATTATAAGTCTTGCCTGTGTGTCATCATGATGACTGCTCCAAAGGGCGGCAACAGGATCTTGGTCACCTGACACAGAAGGATGGAGCTGAGGGCTGTGTGTTGACTGATTGGAACTGTGATCAGACACAAGTGCCACACTGGATGCCACTGATATCTCTTCGCCAAACTATGAGGAAAGGGAGGCAAGAGTCTTTAAAGTGTTCATCATTGTACTGCTTAGTTTACTGACAAGCAGGTACCGGTATATAAATATTTTTTTTAAACTCAAACAAATTCAAGAAAAAACAGGGACATATCATCAATAGAGGGTTTGGCGACCCCCCCCTCCCCGACTCACACTTTTTTTTTTTTTTAATATTTGTAAAAAATAAATAAATAAATAATAATAATAATAATAATAAAAATCTGCAGTTGATAAACCACAGGTATGTGGGTGTTCATTGTACATATCTTTATGTAAGCAATTGACACATAACCAAACTTGGTCACAGTGGAGAAAAATTGGACCTTTGTCTTATACAACAGTATCTGTCCAAACAAAGTCAACAAGACAAAACTGATTATCACACTTACTTGGACAAAATGTACATGTTCAAACAGGTCACCACGGTGATAGCGCACAGGCAGATCAAACGAGCAGTGGAGGCTTTGGTGCTGATGACCCAGGCGGCAAATTTGATGGTTCCCTGCGCCAATAACATACTTACGATTTAGATTCAAACAATTGTGTTTATACGAAAGCCCAAAAAGGTTTGTTATTTTTCGCTTCAACTGTAAATTTGCTGTCAAATGCCACAACATGCAATATCATTACTTTGGCCTACAAAGTTTTATGTTTGAAGACAAACTTTCAATGAGCATTTTACCAAGTTGGGCTTCTTTGGCCATTTGGGTCTCATGGATAATGTTGTGCAGGATCTGCTCTTCCTGCAACAGCTTGTGTTTATCTAGCACCTCCTGCTGGCGAAGGTAGTGGTCATGCTGCTTTTGGTATTCCTTGAGCTCATTCAGGGTTCGCTGCAGTGATCTATAAAAAGAGCCATAATTACATATGCATATAACACCAAATAGAATAGTTGTCATCACTAAAACGCATCATTGCCCACTTGTGTTTTCACATGATTGTATATAAAAAGAGAAAAGGTAGTCTCTTTCTTGCAAGGGCAAGTAGAGCAGTGCGTCAGTAATACTGTATGTTCTTGTTTGCAGCATTTTGGTGGTTTACTGTTCATAGAGATTGTCTGCAGTGAAGTCATATTCATGCAGTAAACTATTTCATGTAAACCAAATACACAAGATATCATTAGAGGTCGAGGAGTATTGAAATATTACGCTCAATGTTCCGAAGTGCTGTTTACAACTAAAGATATGGTTGTCCACCACTCAAAGTGACAGTAAAATGTAAGCAATTAAAAACGTAATCTAAATGTATTTATAGCCAAGAAGTGCTTTTCAAGCTGAACAAACGGTGGCGGATACCGATTTCAGTATCAGTGCCGATACTGTGCGTCTGTCCTGTAAATAGCACCATATGCAGAAAAGCACCATACACGGATACCAGTTGAACAAGCCTGACATGTCCCTTCCAGACAAGTTTAGTTCACTGAAAAAAAGTACCGGTACTTGATTCTCAGTGGCGCAATACAAATATGTTAAACTAATACATATCATTTGTTTAATTTTTTTCAGAAATCACGGGAAAATGACAACCAACTTGTGAGTAATATCGGGCTAAAACTATTTCAAACATGCTCTCATTCGTTTTTTTTTTTTTTTTTTAAATGCAACTCACCCAAGTTCATAGTTTGACCCATAGCAACGCGCTGAACAACAAAAATGCTTTTGTTCTGCAATCTCAGGCAAGTGACATCATTTACAGAATGCCGAGTCGCCAGTCATCCATTGTAATGCATTGTTGATTACCCCGTTAACTGCTCTTTGCTATTGTTATCGAGTTATTCAGCGAAATGCCTGAGCGCTGTGTGGCGATGCACTGTTCACATTCAGGCAAACAGTTGTTTAAGTGGCCAAAAGAAAAGTATACGGCACGTAAATCGACCAGAAAACGACGAACGATACATTTTCGTGTCACCTGTATGTACTTACATAAAATTAGCATTAGAGATTTTAATTACTATATTTTTCATTAATAAAGGAACGTAAACGACAATTACTGATGCAGTCAAACCTCGGTTTTCAAACGTCTCGGTTCTCGACCAATTCGGGTTTCGACCAAAAATTTCGAGTTTTTTATGCCTCGGATGACGAACAAATTTCGGTTCTCGAACGAACTGAGCGCACTTGAATGCACCATTTGACTCCTCTCGCCTTCCTTACACGAGGAAGTGACGCTTCCTCGGGTAGACGAGGAAGTGCCGCTTCCTCGGGTAGACGAGGAAGTGCCGCTTCCTCGGGTAGACGAGGAAGTGACGCTTCCTCGTGTTGCTTTCCATTGTGAGCAGACGTGTTCAGTAAACATTTTTATTTTAAAAAGAGCGTGGTTTCGGTTTTCGAACAATTTCGGTTTTCGAACAGCCTTCTGGAACGGATTATGGAAGAAAACCGAGGTTTGACTGTAGTTACTTTTTACCTTTGTTAAAATGGACGTGCATAAGTGCGTACCTGTGCTGGGCTTCGAGGCGCTGCTCAAGCTTTTGCTGGCAGAGCACGGCATGCTTCCTCCTTAAGGCCAACTCAAAACCTGGTTGAGCTTGTAATGCTTGCTCATAACACAACACTGAGTGGTTGTATTCCCCAAGCATCTGGTAGGGCAGAGAATATTGGAACAAACAAATGTGTAGATTACAGATCACTTATTAGCTACAGTTTTCATACACAACAGTAAAAAGCCCTATCCTTTCCTAGACCTTGTTTCTCATCTTTTAGTGTATAAAGGCTGACCATTAGTCATGCTGTGTACCTGTCTAAATGCACATGTATGCGCATATCTGATTACACTGACAAAAAAAAAAAAAAAAAACACCCCGCATATTTTTGTGCTAACTTTTTGGCTTTGCAATCCCATTTCATGGAGATGTCTATTAAAGATGACGTCACATCATTGCTGCAAGGAATGAATGAACTGTCTGCATGGCTGAATTACTGTTTATTAGACATTGTATGCAGTAAGTTTCCAATATCCAAGCCAAGTCTGTGGTTTACATTTGGTTTAAATCTTTGCTGAAATAACAGTTTTCTGCGTCAAACCCATAATTTGGTGAAATGTATTGCACTTTATAAGTAAGGCAAATAAAATAAAAAGAGGGACACCAGCACGTCTGCCTCACAGTGCAGAGGTGCAGGGTTTGATTCCAGCTTCGGCCTTCCTGTGTGGAGTTTGCATGTTCTCCCCATGACTGGCTGGGTTTTCACCAGGTACTGTACTCCCCCCACAACCAAAAACATGCCTGGCAGGTTAATGGAATACTCTGAATTGTCTCGAAGTGTGATTGTGAGCGCGGATGGGTGTTCGCCTAGGTGTGCCCTGTGATTGGCTGACAACCAGTTCAGGGTGCACCACGCCTCCTGCCCGAACAGCTGGGATAGGTTCCAGCACACCCGCGACCCTTGTGAGGATAAGCGGATTAGAAAATGGATGGATGACAAAAGAGAATATTGATGTTGATTATTTTATAATTACAATGTTCAGTGTTTTGGTTTTGCAAATCAGTTCCTAAAAGAAATCTTGTTATATTTCGACATGAATTTGCTTTGTAACTTCATTTGAGGTTGTTTTTTTTAATGCCTGTGGAATCAAGAATTGCTCTCCGCAGATTGAGGGTTGTTCCCCGCAGAATCAACACTTGTTGTATTGATAATATTAATTGTGAACCTTGGTGTTTAAGATAAAATTGTAACTAATGCAGTAATATGGTCTTTTTTGAACTTACAGCATAAATATTTCCCAAAGTGTAGTGAATGGTAAACAGGTCCGAGGGCAGGTCCAAGGCAGTGTGGGCTAGAACAGCAGCATCTGCTGAAAAATGGGCGCGGTGCAGGATGTTGGCCATATTAACCAGGGCGACATCCTTGTGATGCCTAATTACACACAAAGAACACGGGAATATGAACATATGTGGCCGCTCTCAAACAAACACACTCAATCAAAACATCCAGCAGGGACCTTGTGATGAGGCTGACGCTACCTAGGGGAAAAGTGCAGAGCCCGCGCCACACAATCCATTGTCCTTTGAGGCTCGTTCTTCATACGCCAGTAGAATGAAGCCATGTTGTACAGCACCCATGATGATGTATTCTGGAACATACAAACAGGCATGATTATTTTTTTGGTTGGATTACTGCCCTGACTTCTAGACCTGTTTTTTTTTCCCACACTGACAGTAGTCCATTTGATAGCTGAACGAGGATGATTATTTTGAAATGGCGCAAGGATAACCTGATTGTACCACATCAGCCACTAACTGACCTTGACTAAATTGAAGTACACTGTAAACACTGTTTTTTCTTGGAAGGATTGCACTCGGCATGCTGAATCAGCAGCAGTTTATGAAAATTCACAATGACAGCAAGTATCATCCTTGCAAACTTAACCCTCCGTCAAACTTAAAAACTGCTCTTTCTGTTTCTGACAAATACAAATGAGAAACATTAATACAGAGAGCTCATGTCTAAGTGCCAAAAGTTTTACCCTTTACATCGTTGGGTCCAAACAAAAAAAAAAAAAAAAAAATAGTTTACCCTCAGTAATGCTTGATGGATGCGATGGCCCACCACATCTATACTGTGGCCCAGTTTGTGTGACAAAGAACCATAAATTGGGTCCTCCTTTGAAAGTAACGGGGAGGTGAGGTTTGCCCTTTCTTGCACACCCTGCAATACACCAGAAAGAATGCAGACATGTTATACGTTATTTTATTACTTTACATGACAGAAAGTCTGCTCGCATTTATAGAACGTAGTTTGCAGATACCAGGAGATTTTTGCCTAACAATTTTGTGCTTCTTAGTAGTACAATTACCTTGTACAAATACGGTGATATTTGGGCTGCATGATCATGGCCAAAATGATAATCATGATCATTAAAATTATTCATAGTGTGAGGAAAACAGCTGTATTTTTGAGTATGCAGAATATGGAGTTTTCATGCATTTTTGGGTCTCCAAAAATGCACATCATCATCATCATCATCACCACCAGCAGAAGACAAAGACAAAGAAAAAAAGAACTAAAAAAATCAACTGGGACTTTGAAGCACTCACTGCCAGGACCCTAATTATAATAATATGTATCATAGTTACATACAGTATTTATATTTATGAATTAAGGGTTCGACAAAAGGTGGATTTTTATTCTTTGTTACCTTCGCTTTTAAAAACTCCCCAAACAAGCTTGGTCTTCTGATCAATAAAAACTTTCAGGAGACAAACCAATTGGACTGCAGCAGTCATGACATACAATGTGCAAATATAGATTTGTTTCACAGTACATTCATTTAAAAATGAAGCGATCCGGTTAAGTGCAACTGATGACAAGCTAACCAGAATACTCACCCTGAGATGCTGGAATGCATGGATACTATAAGGCAATTCCAAAACTCTTGCACAGTCTGGCTTTTCTAGATCTGGAGGCAGTGCGGAGAGTAAATCCACATAGTCTTCGGGGCTACACACAAAAGGGCAGTGGTACAAGTCATTCAATTAATGATACAATTGTTCAGGAAATCAACAAAAACAGTAACTTGTTTTCACAATTTTACAAGAAACTAAGGAGGACGAGAACAAATCATTTTCAAATAACCCATGCTATACATCTACAGGGTGATGCAGAGAAACACGGAACAACTTACAGTATATACAGTACATTATCTTAGTCACCATGCCTTTCAGTAAGTTTTTAAAACTACAAAAAAAAAAGCAATTCGAATTATTAATAGATCGAAATATACGGAACCCACAAATCCACGATTTATCAAATTAAATCCGATGAAATTTCATGACCTGGTTGACTTTAAAATCGCCCAATTAATGTACAAAGTACACAATAACCTGCTCTGCCAAAACATTCTGAAGTTTTTCGAAATTCGAGAAAGCAGCTATGATTTAAGAGGTACCAACTTATTCAAAAAACTCAAAACAAGAACAAACATCAAGCAAAGAAGTGTATCTATCAAAGGTGTTAATCTGTTAATCTGTGGAATAATTTCGAAACGGACCTGAAAATGAGTAAATCGCTTGCTGAGTTCAAAAACAAATTTAAAAAAATAGTACAAACTACCTACATCAATCAGAGTTAAAATGATAAATTCTAAACATTAAATATAATGATAAATCAGAACTAAGTTGATAAATAGAGAAAGGTATTGAAATATCCATTATGAATACAAGAGAAAATTAACACAAGAGTGCCAGGGTGTGTATGTATAAAATCCCGATACAAAGCAAAAGTATAAAAATATCACGGTTAAGGGTAAAGTATGAGCCTTAATGGAGACTTCTTTCTTCTTACTTTCTTTCTTTTCTGGTTGATATAAAAATGATTCAAATAGATATAAACATATAACATGGGGTAGGACTAGATAAGTTCTTTACTTCTTCCTACTCCCTTGAACATAATAACTGTGTTGAATGATGACTAATTTCTCTTTCCTCTTTACTATTTTATTTACCTTATTTTCTGTCAAATTATTACTGTATATGTTTTATGTTCAATAAACAAACAAACAAAACAAACTTAGATGGTGCCCTGAATCCTTTGTGAGTCAGACAACAGTCAGAAGAGTGAACATAACACTGCCTTTCATGACATTCCACGACATTCTTTCTTGAAAGGAAGTGCTTTTCTTTCATAAGCATGGCTTACCGAATATCTTTACTCTCTAAGGAGATATAAGTGCCATCATACAGGTCAAGGTCACCAAGAGGTACTTTGGCCATAATGCAGTCTGCATCCTCTTTGTAGTGTCGCTGTTCCAGTCCTGTGTCTCTGTCCTCATTTTCCTCAATGTGGATTTTCTGTGCCACGAGCAGCTTCTGTTCAAAATTGAAAAGATAGAAACAGTCACAAGTGAGTTAAGTGTTTGAGAGATAATAGCTTTTATTTTAAAGAAACACAGAAACCCCTGAGAATAAATAGCAAGTCCTACTGTGTAAAAAGCCCCAGCAGAACTTGACATCCCCACAATTTTTTTTTTTTTTTTAGAACTGCTGATATTTCTATCTTAGACTATCCTCAGACCACAAACTGCGACCCTCAAACAATTACAATTATTTCTAAATCATCTTATGTCACCCTGAAACATAATCATACTCAAGGTGTGTAAGCATTTCAACATTTGCCAAAGTCTCCTAACATCCACTCCCAACCCAGGCTAAACTTAGCTCCTCCCCAGTACAGTATACAAAGCTTGTCTCTCAAATGAACCAATTCCCGTTCAGACAGGAATTTGGCACCATCTTATGGGATTTTACAACATTGCATATAGAGCAAACAAATCCACAAAATAGGTGAATTTTTAGCAATTAACGGAGGATGTGTTTTAAAAAAAACGTATAATGTTGAATTTTAGGTAGAGAAATACTCCAGATAATTTTCAGTGACAGAGTTATTTGCACACTGTCAAAACTCTCTCACCTCCAGTTTCTTGAGGTAGTCAACCCGAGACTCTTGTCTCATGAAGATCACAACGTCATGCGGATGTTTGAGATTCAAAGGCGAATCAACCTACAACAAGTTGAGTAACATGAAAGTAATTAAACATCAAACTTGAAACAAAATTATACACTCACGATACAGTGTACATTGTTCAGTTGTATCACGTGAGTCTGTTTAAATTCTCTCCCAAGCCTGGCACGTAAACGAAACGCAAGTGTGACTTGTTTAAGCATCATCTTAGTTGATAACAATATAACAGACAGCCCGATATGTTCTGGTCATCTTGACCTCGCTTACCTACTATCTCTCGTGAAGGCTGCGCTTTACTATAAATCGTTAAAGCTGCAGGACGTACTTTCTCAGAAATTTTGACTTAAGAAAGGTGGGCAATCATATTCTGACATCGCTCAAATAAACCAACGAAACTACATTATCCGAACAAAATACATAAATAAATGTTACTGATATAGCTAACATAGATAGCATTCCAAGCTAGCCACCAAATAGAAGCGAGAAAGGCTCAATGAGCTGTCATACTTGCTGTTGTATTTTTCCGTCCTCCGTGACAACCCAGTGGGTTGTAGCTCCTCCGGAGTCCACTATGAGTATGCAAAGTAAAATGAAAAGCTTCCCCTGGAAAAACGTTTTGGGCGAACAGCTGACTCGACAGGGGAAGGAGTCAGGAGTGATTTTCTCGATGTCCGCCATTTTTCTGTCTCCCGACCGCTGTGGCAACAGCAAAACGGCCTCCGACCACACGGTGGCACTCAACTCGCTTTGCACCCCGAGAGACAAAAACAACATTAATGCACCGTTTCAATCCAACTAGACATCACTTTGGCCTCTTATTTTGCACCGATTATTGAGAAAAGAAAAAGTATTCAATCTGTGGCTTCTTACAGATCTGTCTTTAAGCTATAGAACTCAGAAAACTAAAGCAGAAGGAATTTCCAGAATGTCACTTGTTATGCCCTTTTATTGCGCGTTAATACGACAATCTAAGATATAGATCAGATGCTCTTCATTTTTTTAAATGGAAAAATAAAACGCATTGCATTAAAAAAATCTGTTATGCATACATTTGAGATGAACGGATGATATTTTTAATGGTGACTCTTTGAATAACACTTTCAAGATTAACTGGATTTGATATATTTTGAAAAATGCCCACTCAGTTTGGAACTGTAGACTGAATTGTATATTTCTCTAAAATTACCTGATTGAAGTTTCTCTTGGTATGTAATTACAACATTTAAATAATCCCTGTTCGTTTGTCAACCTTCCATAAGCAAGCATTGGCTTTACAAGAACAAATCCATATTATTTGGGTGATTCAATGGTTCAACGGTTAAGGAGTTTTATTTCTTTATCAGGAATCCCTTCAACGTTTTCAGATACCCGTGACACCTAATGTGTTTGCTGTAATTTTTTATGCTCTTCCTTCTTGTGTATCTGTGCTGCGTAGGGGGTGCATTAATTGTGTATGGTTCTGTATTTGATGCTTCTGTTACTGATGTTACTGAAAATATGCTTAAATTCTTTTTGTCATGTCTTTTAGGAACTTATTTGCAAAACCAAAACACTGTGAAGAATCGTGGTTATAAAATAATGAACATCCTTTTCTTTGTTCCTCTTTTTCATCTATCCATTTTCTAATGTGCTTAATTAATCACAAACTATTCATTGGTTTGGTACTTGGCTATAACTTAATCATATTATATGAGGTTTATGATAATCAATACAATACAATATTATGATATCGGATTTAAAGTGATTTATTAGTTTGTGTTTAATGACAAATATCCATCCATTCATTTTTTTTTAACCGCTTATCCACAAGGGTCGCTGGCGTGCTGGAGCCTAACTGGTTGCCAGCCAATTGCAGGCACAGTGTAATGACAAATACAGACATTTATATGGGAATAGACATTTTGAATTTTTAGGTTCAAAATTAGCTCCGTTGATTTTGGTGTATATTCAGAGTCTGACCTTCTTCGGTTCACGAACGGGGCAAATTTAATTTGACACATACAATATGGCAGCCTCACTGACGTATAGCAACAGGCAGACCACGGACTTAATCCGTGGGGTTGACACACTCAGGGTGGCATCTATTCCTTAGTTTATCTATGTTCTGACGTTGATGACGTACTTAAAACAGGAAATGCCGTACAAACGATAAGTTCCCGACTTGCTCAAGGTATTATTTTAATTTAACATGGTATTTGATTCACTATTGTCTGTCTTGGCGTACTTGCAAGAGTTGGGCGCCACTTATATATGCTATGCTGGTTATTAATATACATATATCTTTTAAAAAACTGAATTTGGTGACCACAGCCTGGACTGTAAAAATAACAGTTCCTCATGTGGAAGCTCGATCGCTAGTCCCCATCAAACGCAATGATCTCTGTACGTTTTCATTAATTTTAAGTTTAAACGTTTAGTTTAGACATAAACTAATGGAAACGCATCCAACTCTAACAGCCTACCAATCAAAGGTAAAGCAGAAACAAAATAAACGTGTGATAAACAATCGTACGGTTACCACTAAAATAGTCGAGCCAATCGAATATCCGTCAACAAGTGTTTGCTTATTCATCAGCAAGTCCGTAATTGTTGACTTGCCAAACTTTCCCTAGGTACAGTAATGGAGTGTCTCTGAATGTTGTAGCTGATGTCTTTGAATAGTCAGCAATCTAAATATTGCGCAATACCCTATTTGAGAGTGAGGAAGATAAAATCATCGTATGCCCACCAATTTCCACTTATGTGTCATCCTCCTCAGATGTCTTGCTCTGATAGTCACAAGGGGAGTTTGGAGGAGGTCAGTTATGAGGGAGCTGCTGGTGGCGACCTGTCCAATTGTGCCTTGGCGATGCTGGAAAGGGAACGAGAATCCATACAAAGTCCCACAGGGAGTCCTGGTGCCTCTACTATTCTCTCATCTACTGCCCTTGAGCAAGGGTACGATGTGGAGTTCGACCCACCACTCGAGAGCAAATATGAGTGTCCCATCTGCCTGATGGCTCTCAGGAATGCCATTCAAACACCTTGTGGGCACCGTTTCTGCAAGAGCTGCATTGAGAAGTCAATTCGGTATGCTTTTGTGTTGCTTTGATGTTCAACGCTAATTTAGGCTCATAATGAATTCAGTCAGAGCAGTCTGCCCAAAGTGCAGTTTCCACTGGTTTTAATCAAATTTTAATCAGAGTGCTTTAAGTGTCCCGAAACATATATTTGACACTGATTTGAATCATGTCTACTTTTTTTCTAAGCACATCAGGTTTTGAGACATTTTGAATTTTTGTCTTTAAGTTTGACCCATACAAGCCAGCACATTAAAAATACAATGTTTATGAAAAAAAATCCACCTGCTATTGAACCTCATCCTCAATTCTTAAATAATAGTAGATATAATTCTATCTTACCTATTATACAATTGGTATTATTATTATGAAAACCTGATGTGCTAGAGCAGGGGTGTCAAACTGGGCCGTTATAACTGTGAAACCACGTGAATGTTTTTTTTTGTAATCGCCTCATATTCTTACATAAACAGTACACATCAAATTTATGGCTAACTAGTTTTGAAATCAGAAGTCAGGAATAGTAGTTGATTTGACTTTTGTTCAAATTACTGTAATAACGTAACAAGAAAATGCTTGCAATGTCTCAACCTCATTATTTATTACATATGACAATTTGAAATGTAGGTACAGAGTTTAGCGAGCAAGCGTCATGGAAGTTGACATGCTTGATTTGCTTTCGTGGGCTATATAAAATGATGCGGCGGGTCAGAACCCAACTCCAGGTCTGGAGTTTGACACTAGTTGTGCTAGAGAAAAAACAAGGGCTGATTCGGAATCAGTGCAAAAATAAAAAAAACATTTACTTGCATCTCTGATTTCTGAACTGAAAAATGAGTAAAAATGTGTTGAAATTTGTGTTGTTTGTCATCAGTAGCATGTTTATAATTGTGTCGCAAAAAAATGAAGTTCCATATGTTAATGTACACTCAATCTTGATGAAAATGTTTCTGCATGAAATAAAGGGATGCAGGACAGAGATGCCCCGTGGACAATGAAATGCTGTTAGAAGACCAACTGTTTCCTGATAACTTTGCCAAAAGGGAGATTCTTTCCCTCACTGTCCGCTGTCCAAATGCTGGCTGTATGGACAAAATGGAGCTCCGACATTTAGAGGTGAGAAAATCTGCCATAACACTACATTAGGAAGCCTATACATAAAATAGAAATCTGCCTGATGTAAGTACAGTATTCCTTTCTCTGCGAATGGATGTTTCAGAAGACTTATGGAGACCCCAAGATTAATTAAAATTTCACCGTTGATTTGTTTCCAATTAGTGTTTTCCACGATTGCCTTGTGGGACTTTTCACAGCAGCTCACTAAAAAAAAAAAAAAAAAAAGCATGGAAATATTTTACAACAGTTTAAGATTGAATTGTGTTGTGAGTTAGCAAGTGTATTTGATTCAGGTTGTGGTTATTCCCATCAAACTATTTAGTCATGCCCTCTGGATCAGTCAGTGTTGTTCTCTTGTTTGACATCAGGATAGCATAAAGTAATTCTCGTGAGACTCAAGCGTATTGATCTTTGTCTGAACAACAAATCAGTCAGTCACATTGTTCTGTCAGCAGAAGAGCCTCATGCTCCAACTCTCTGCATAAGCTATTCGATAAACAGTTCAGGAAATGGACGGATAGTTACAAATGATATGAAACTGTTTTTGGCTATTCCCAACAAGGCTTGGTTCCTACCCCCTGAGAAAGGCCGGGAGATTAGTTTCAACATCTGTACCCATTCCTGGTTTTCTTTCTGTTTTCCGTCCAGAATCATTTGGCACAATGTCCATTTGCGACTGTGCCCTGCCCACAATGCCAACAGTCCGTGAGAAAAGTTTACCTGGAGGACCACAAAACCATAGAGTGCCAAAGGAGACCCATGTCCTGCCCAGACTGTGTTGCGAGCTTTGTATACGAGGAGAAGGAGGTAGTTTTTTTTTCTCTGAACTATTTTTTTTGAAGAATGTTGCCACAGCAAGATTTTTTAAACGTGCATCGCATACCCAAGTCATCATTCCCTTTCAATGTGTTCTTTCTCTTTCAGCTTCATGAGCAGCAGTGTCCCTTTGCAAGTGTTAAGTGCCAGTACTGTGCGCTGGATCTCATTAGAGACCAGGTATGCATATACCACATGAGTAGTGGATGTTTGATTGCCGGTTATCGTGCAGTTTACTTCACTGGTATGGCATTTAGTAGATTCAGTTAATTAAATTATGAAAACTGCTGCCTTTCAATGAAAGGCCAGGTGACACATTGTCATTCAACTTAAATCATTCACCCCGGTGACATAAGGTGCGGTCCAGGGCTCTGTCCTGAGGCCCCATCTACTCATCACCTATCACATTCCAATATGCATTTTTATTTCTATTTGTTCCATATCTCCAGCAAACCCAACTCTTCTCTCCCCACCTCCCACCTTACAGACTGTCTCTGAAACTCTACTATTGGCTTGGTTCAAACTTTTCTCAACCTCAACAGCTACAAAATGAAATTCCTCCTAGTTGGATCCAAATCTGCAATTGGCAAAATTAACAGCACTACCATTACCTTAGACAACTCCGGTTTTTCCCCTTGGCCAGTTTCAGTGTCTGGATATCACCGTTGACAGCACACTATCATTTCAAGCCCACATAAATAAAATTACATAGTCCGCAGAAGCATACTTTCATCTTTCATCTCTGCAGTATTAATCACCTTGGCATGTCCCTCACTTCTTTTTACCCTGTCATCGTTGCTGATAGCTTGGTCACTTCAGTATCGATTGCTACAATTCCCTTCTTTTTGGTCTCCCTCACAAATCACCCATCAACTCGAAGTGGTCCAGATTTTAGCTGCTTGGGACATAACAAGAAGCCCTCCCTTTTATCACACAACCCCATTTTTACATCAGCTATGCTGGTACCGGTAAAATTTAGAATACATTTCCAAGTCCTCCTGCTCACCCCGCCGTACCTCTCAGACATAATACAGATTGCCATCCTCTCTCCACTTCACTGGCCCGCTTGTCTGCCCCATCACTGTGACGAGCAGAGAATTGAGTCGCTCTGCTGCCGTCCTCTGGAACACAGCACAACATGGACTCCATTTCTCTATTGAAAGGCATACTCAAAGCACAGCTGTTCGGAATGCCATACTCTCCCAGTCTTGTTTTTGCAACGGATGTTGTGTGTTTTTAATGTTGCACATTGATTAGTGTATTTGTGATTGTATGGTGTCCCTGTGTGCTCTAAAGGTGCCTTTAAATAAAATGTATTATTGCTATTGTCATTAACACAATGGGGAGCAAATAGAGATGAACCCCTCATGTGTTCATGTGATTTAGCAACAACTGGGCCGCTGAAATGCAGTTTAAAAATGTAAGTCGAAAATGTTTATGTTCCAGATGGACTCTCATTGTGATACAGATTGCCCTAAAGCCCCTATTGCCTGTACATTTAGCACTTTTGGATGTAAGGAAAGGGTAGGTGATGCAACGTCAAACATCTCACAATTTGGAAAATCTCTTGGTGTTCCTTATTCCAACACTTTTTGTCAAACTGTGGTTCTTTATAGATGCAGCGACACAACCTGGCTCAGCATATGCAGGAGTTCACGCAAATGCACATGCGTTACATGGCGGAGTTCGTGCGATGCCTTAGCTTTAATTGTACCACACCAAAGTCACTTTGTGCTCTTGGACCTTCTGTTTCATCTGATGATCAAGGAGCAGCAGCAGCAGCATCAGCATCATCTTGTAGGGGAAATGCAAGCGGTGGCAACAGCTGTGGCCCATGCCACCCCAGCGAAGAAATGCAAAGGATCCGGGATATGGACGGACGATTAGTAAAACAAGATCACCAGCTACGTGAGCTTGTCATCTTAGAAGATACTCGGGTATTTTCATATTTTATACATGAGAGACTTGCAAGGTTCAGTTTTTATGCAATAATGCTGCTTTAAGCAATAGGATGAGTTAAGGAGTTTGAAAATTATGGTACACAGTACCTGTCATGAAGCATGCTTGAGGTAATGAAGAGCATGTAGAAAGCATGTCTACCACCCAGTTGAGAGAGATTCTGGGTTAGCATGTTCTAACTGTGCATGTTAGGTTAAGTGGTTGCAGTAACTGAATACTCTGATTGTTCATGTGATGCCATTGACTTGTAACCAGTCCAAGGAGTACCTAGCTCCTCGAGCACAAATTCACCCTCCACCATGAACAAGCCTTGGTATACAAAGGAAAGCAGGAATCATGTCAATGGTTGCCATCCCACGATTGCTGTTTCCTTTCCACAGGTAGGTCAGCTTGCACAGCTCCAGAGAAGAGTAGCTGTGCTCGAGGAGACAGTGAAGGAGCTCGAGGCACAGCAATGTCACGGCATCTTCATCTGGCGTCTCAGAGGTTTCTCGGCGCACCTCCATAACCAAGAAGCAGGCCTGCCGGTGGTTGAGCACAGCCCGGGCTTTTACACCGGTCGACCGGGCTACAAACTGTGCCTCCGCCTGCACCTGCAGACCCCCAATGCCCCACGCTGTTCCAACTACATATCCCTCTTTGTCCACACCATGCAAGGAGCGTTCGATGGACAGCTAAGCTGGCCTTTCCAGGGCACTATCCGTTTGGCCATTCTCGACCAGGGCCCCGACGCTCAACATCATATGGAGGTGATGGAGACGAAGCCGGACCTTCAAGCCTTCAAGAAACCCACAATTCAGCGGAACCCCAAAGGGTTTGGCTATGTGACTTTCCTGCACTTGCATCAGCTGAATCAGCGAGCTTTTGTCAAGGATGACACCCTCCTCATCCGCTGTGAGGTAACGCCACGTTTTGACGTGTTTCAGCGCGAGGGACCCACAGTGCAGCCGAGAGGTCCTGAGGCTTCACGCGACTAACTCATATTGCATGTGGGTCATGCTTAGTTTTCTCAGACTGTGTTGAATGTGCAAATGTGCTGGTATTTATTCCAATTTTTCAAATATCCGAACAATTCTTCGTACTTGTATTAAATTTTATTTTAATCAGATTGGAAATAGTCTGCATGTATGCACATTTTTTAACAAGCACATGTTTATTTCGCATTAATAGGTTTGGTTATTGATGTTGATTTTCTGCCAACAAACTGACTGTTACTACCACATAGTACTGTGGGGGTTTTTGAAACTTTTTTTTTCCAATTACCAGCACATGCGGAAAAAACAATATGTGTATAATCCATTGTAAAGATCCCTCCTTTCTCCCTCGTGTCTTGAATATCGGCTCACACTGGCGCTGGATGAACACGACTGAGTCCATAATTAGAATAACAATTAGGGTTTTTGACTGAAATGTATTACTGTGTGTGTGTGTGTGTGTGTGTGTGTCAAGTTCATCCCAATATTGTCATTTATTCCAAAGGATTAATAACTCCAAAATGTGCCTTTGCATTTATTTATCCTGTGGAGGTTATTAAAAGGAAATGACTAAATAATCGATGATGATTAGTATGGATGTGCATTGTTTTTAATTCGGTGTCCAATGTGTTTGACAAAATGTCAGATGTTGCAGATGTTGTTCGCCCAAAGCCTGAAATAAAGATTCCCGTCATCTACTGGCCCGGTCCTGATTCCCTGCGAATAGTGAGAGTCGACTGAACTCATTTTCACAGCATAATTTTTTTTTTTTTTAAATTAAATTGAAAATTCATTTTTCTGTGCACATTTCATTTGCAATCTGTGGCCAACATTCAGCTGGTATTGGCAATTGTTACCCAATTAGCCAATGAATGAGGACAAATATACAAAATAGAATGCCTATGTTAGTGGATACAATCGTTTGTAGAAGCCCTTGAACCAAAATTCTGTCGTGAATAATAAATTATTTTAGTTTTTAATCCTTGACATTGCCAGGCTTCACAGAGAATGCTTTCAGAGGGAAGTGGTGACTAAGCTTGATCTTGCCGAGTGTCATTAGCAGGTTGCAACAGAGGGACTGAAAGAGTCACAGAAAGTCATCGAAATCCTTGAAAATGTATTGGTCATTGTGAACATGACAATACTACAACACAAGTATCTTCAAATAAAGTCAGCATCAATTTGTCACTGACATCATCTTTAAGAATACAAAAAAATATGGTCATAATTGGCTATCTTAAGATCACAACTAACTACGATTGCTTCATTTTCTTTTGTCAATGTAACGCTAACCTTTGGCTCAATTGGTTTCTTTCTTCAGTCGACTTTGATGGGCATCATTGCTGGCCTTGCAGCCTGCCAAAGACAATGCCATTTTGAAGTCCATTAATTCACATAAAATGCTTCATTAAATGTGTGTAGTGGTAGTATCAGTTTTACAGAGCATAATTTGGATTGTCACTTGACTCACTTGGTGCAACTGGAGCCTCTTTCCCACATTTGAGTGTGCTCAGAGCAAAGCATTCTGCCATCCAAGACAACACGTCACCACAGTATCTCACCTAGATCCAAATCACACAGCTATTACTACCGAGACAGATCCCTCTATGAGATAAGAATGTCAAGCGGAGGATAGGACACTGAGGACCGAATTCACTAAGACTGAACTTTGGCTGCTGATGCCACCTTCATTTGCACTTCGTTTGCACCCGCAGTTTGCTCCAACTTAAAGTCCTATTCACGAAGGATATTGCGCTCATGACGTACCAGTGCAAACACGGCAACAAAGTTTGTCAGAGTCCAATTCACACCGAGACACAATCTGGTTGGCAGCACAGTTAGTGAAGCATTTAAACATCTGCACGTGTTCAGTGGATTGGATGGTTCCTGTTTGCTCCATTTTTACTAGTTAGTGTCATGCAATCCTTTAGTGAATTCGGCCCTGAGTTGTTTGGGCATACTTGAGCCTCCATGGAAGTCAGACGTTTCTCTTGGTCCTTTACCCCACCGATAATCCTAAGCAAACTTTGAACCCTTGGCAGAAAGTAAATAAACAAACAAAACAAATTTGTTGTGAAATTCAGGATTTTACATGAACACACACACACACACACACACACACACACACACACACACACACACACACTGTACATATGACTTATTATTTGGTGCTTTTGGCATTTGCCTACTTAAATAAAAACCTCATTTTAAATCTTGTCTTCCAGTACAGTCAGGTGAGTTAAGTTTGACAGTTGTAAAGGTAACTAAATAAATAAACTAACCAATCTTATGATCTGCACCACTAATAGTGGTCAATCAAATTGATGGTTAATGCAAGAATGTACAGTGCTGAAAAAAATTTATTAGACCATTCAGGCCCCCTCAGTATCATGAAGCGTCTTCGGGTGGACTCTATTATTTGTGAGCCTACAATGTCTTTTTTTCCATTTTGAGCATGAATGAGGAATTTCAGACTGATTTCTGCACCGAGTTTAGACAGATCACTCATCTGAGAGATCGAAAATGATTAAAGGATGACATTCAACCACCAAAGGGTGTTTCTAGTCAGGAATGCCAGCTAATGACTATAATTTGAGCTTGAACAAGAGACAACGTGCTTTGTATTGTCAAATATCTCTACCCAAGCTTTGATACATGGCTGTCTTAATAACTATGACAGAAACAAACAAACAAACAAAAAAAGCATGGTTTTGGGAAGTACAAAGTCTGTTACTTTCGTCACATGTGCATAAACCTTGCCAATGATCTAATGAATTTATCAAGAACTGTAGAATATGTACCGTAATGTATATTATATCGTCGCAGTAGGGTGGCGCGAGACAAAATACCATCTATTAGAAGCTGAGAAGCAACATTGGTCCAACGACAGGAAGAAAATGGGAGCAACGTTAAATGAGGCACTGAAAGTCAATTGTGTTTTGATCGGTTGCCCTGTGTCCTCTGGTATAATCGCTCACACTCTTAAGCAGTTAATGTAGCTATCGCCATTCCCCCAATTCACACTTGGAGTAAAAATTAGGTCAGGGTGTATCACTCAAATCTCATAGAGTAGAAACGTAGCTATAGATGACCATGGGATACTTTGTCAGCAAGAGGGGAAAAAAAACACCTACTTTGAGGATGTACTCTTGAGTCGCTCCTCACTGCTCTCCCAATGTTGCCGCTCAAGTTTGGCCAGGTAGTTCTCTTTCTGTACAGTCTCCCAGATAATCAGCCTCTGGTCAAGCCCTGTTGGTAGCTCTCGCTCTATTATAGAAAGCACATGCAGATTTGTAGTCTCAGCGTTTTTTCAAATCTTAGCAACTTTGTTGCGTTAAATCCTCCCACCAAGATGCTCCTGCTTGGACTCAGGCTGCTTGACCAGGCTGAGGAGTAGCTGAGAGAGGTGGCTGATGATAATGAAAGGCGGAGCCAGTGCCGGGCGGCTGTGATACTCAACAATCAAGTTGTACCGTTGGAACTTCCAGAAAATATCGGTGTTGCCCTGTACAACCTGGAATGTGTAGCTGTAGCTCACAAAACAGAAAAAGCGTACAGGAGAAGCGACAACAAAATTAGGTTGTTTTGCTTTCTAGAGTTGTTCTTGAAGCCACCTTCTTACAAACAGCCATCAACAGATGTCCATCATGTTTGTGAGCTCCTGACCTGAACATCGCAATGAGCAGGTTGAGTAGAAGAACATTGGTCACAAGAAGGTAGATGACCAGAAGGAGGATCACGAGCCAGTTGGCATAGACATTAGGACATGATGGCCGCAGACCCTTGATAATCTCCTCCGAGTCATCGGTGCAGTTCATTTCGGGCATCCGAGCAGCTGCATCGTCAAAGAAACAAAAGGACTGTCTCAATGGAAAACACACAGAATGTTTTCAAATTATCCTTTCATTCTACAGTCCTTTACCATCAATTTCCTCTAAGGGAATCTGGCCAAAAATGTGCAGGTAGGGGCGGTACAAGGCTCTGCGAAACACCCAATCGATCCGGGGGTCATTAGGATGGAGAAGAGCCTGGGTAGCCACCCCGTATGCAATCAGCCACACACTCAGGAAGAAGAGGAAGAAAAAGACATCCTTCATCTGTAAAGAAAAACATTGCGCTGTTTGGGATATGACAATCCTTCACGTCTTCTATTTTTAATCTAATATGGGTTTATCATTCACAACACGAGTTGATTGCAATTTAACGAGATCCAATGCCATAAAAAAATACAATTACCGGTTATAAAAAATCCTTAGTTTTGTGGTTTCAATGGTGAAGAACTGCACCAGAACAAACATTTCAAGATGCACCCGTTTTTTTTTTTTTTTTAATCTTATGTTGTTCTGTTTTTATTTTCACAAATATTGGGACTTAATGCGCTCCCATGAGACCTCATATTTCATGGGATAACTGGGAAATGTGTGTTCGTATGCCCATAAAATTCCTTGAATTCTTGAAAATCGACGTGCCGAATCATCGAGTATTTGATTCAACCTCTCGTGTGAGACTGCTAATTTCCTCAACATCAAAGCCAGCATTTATGCACAACAAAATGCCGTCTGAAAACTATTCTCAAAAAGCATGAAGCAACATGAATGAGAAAGACAGAAATATCCCTCAAAATCATGCCACGCAGATCGTACAGCTTCACCTTGTCATGAGTGCAAAGATAAAAGACATATTAAATGTCACAAGGTTAAATGTTTGCGTATGAGTGTTTTTGGTCACCATTCTCTCCACAATGATGATCTTTGGCCCCAACTGCTTATGAATGGCAAATATGTGGATCAACCGCAGTGTGAAAACCATGAAGTCGATTGCTAGAACAGTTCTTCCTGCCTCGTAAGTGTCATCAACCATCCTGCCATTCAAAAAAAAAAACATCAGTTCTGTTCTTTACCTTTTGTTTTCTACGTTTCTGTATGTGTTGTGTGTTATTTACCTGCATGAAACTCCAACCACGAATAGTGAAATAGCAACCATGTCACACTTGTTCCAGTTGTCCTCCACGTAGAGTTTAAATTTCTTTAAGATGTTCATCTCTTCATCTGAAAAGAAGCTCTGCAACATGACCGACATTTGTTTTTATTACACTAAAATTCCAACAGGAAAACAGAGCAAAGACATTGGTATGTTATGGGGCTAACAGTACTGATTTTTTTTCTGAAATCAGCCCAACTGCACCTCATCAAAATCACTTTCAAGTAATGTCTTGAAAATTTTATTTCATTTTGTCAAAGTCGAGTCATTGAGAATACTTGATCGAAGATAGAATTGTTGT